TCACTAAAAATCAAAAACAAAGATCTGCAACAAGCACATAGAAAACTCCGTAAGGTGTGCTGGTTCGTTCCGTAGCTCAGATGGGGGAGCGTTAGACATGGTGTACAAGAGGCACTGGTTCGAACTCATCTGTATCGAAGAATTTTTTCTTAGTGTTCAAACTTGTATTAATAATTATAACAAACTGGAGGAGTCCCAAAAAAATATTTCATACCATGGTAGTAAAACATCGCGATATTCAATAAACATAATGATTAATAATATCAATACAGGGTACTAAAAAAACCGATCTCAAAAGTCATTCATCCCCTAGGTTGCCACCCTTAGAGGTGGAATATTTTCTTAAAATTTAAATGGGACCACTTCTGAGGTATCCTCTTTCCAACAAAAGAATCATCAAAATCGGTTCACAAATTCCGGAGATATCGCGTAACATACGTACAAAAAAACACAGTCAATTTGAGAACCTCTTCCTTTCTTGAAGTCGGTTAAAAACTATTATACATTTTTAAACTGATATACTAAACGTCATTTCCATAATATATACCGCGTGTTTGCAGAAACCTCGTGTTCTGAGACAACAACTCTATCGACAGATGAACGGACAAGGAATGAGATTGGGTTTAATTAATGTTGTATATGTACAGAGCATTGATAAAATCTTTCAAAAACTTTATGTTGTCAGGTAGCCAATCTTTAATCAAACCGCTGCAAGAACAGAAATTCTAAATAAAAACGGAACTAATGAAGAACTTAAAACCCTTTTTGAAGAATTGTTTTGAGGTATTGGTGAAATATTTTAAGTTGATAACAAAGAACACCAACATACTTCGCCGTAATCATGCCACTTGTTACAAAATATTTAAGATGTCATTTGTTTATGCTAGATGACTAATCAACACTCACTACTCAACAGTCACTAAGGAACCACGTATATAATACAGTATTGGTTTCGATTCGGCCAAATGGAAAAGATTCATAATACCTAATAATTAACACTCTTCCTTTCATCTTGGAATGATATTTTCAACACATAATTTACTGGTCTGGATATTTTAGGCAGTATTTTTACACCTCAATTATTGCATTAATGGGCGTTAGTGAGGTCTCAGCATGTTTGTTGAAACTATTCGTCACTTGCATCCCAATACGATAACATCACAACGTGTTGCAGCAATTTTCTTTAAATCTATTAAGATTTAAAGCAAATCTTGAGACCGCATTAATGTTAATGAAAGTTTATGCATAAAGTCATCAGATTCCGATCGAGTCGTTTTCCTATCAGTATTTCATTTTCATTACAACAGGAAACAGGAAACAAAAAGTGATCCAATAAATCCCCCGGTACAAAGTATCGTACATTTCGTTTTTTTCTCAGCCTTGTTAATTAGGACGGACGGCGAGCGACAAAGCGTACTGGGCGACATAGAGTTGAAATACTCCTGGAAAAGTTGAAGGATTTTCAAATACAAATTACAGGAATATAACAGACATTAGATTGTGAAGAGAAATTGTGAAATAAATAAACACATATAAAAAATATGTATATTTTTTATACGTAATTATTGTGTGTTTGTGTGTTTTATATGTAATTATTTATTTAGTTATGTAATTATTCATTTGTAAATAATTATATATGTACGTGTATAACAATATTATGGTCATTTATTATTTCATAATATGACAATGTAACTTTTAAGACGTGCATTAAAATTTTTACCACTGGCACACTACGTGTCTCTCTCTGTGCAGTTCTCCTCTGCCTTAAAGGTTGTCTGGAAGAGATCGTTTCCAGCGACAAGGCCGCCTATACACTTATTCTAAGTTGTCTATGTACTGTTTTTGTTTTTTGTGTGTGAGCAATAATAAGTCTAGATAGATTTATTATAGGTGATAGGTAGATACCTATCTCTCTATAAACTGAGGAAAAACGATAAGTATTTGTTTGGTCTGTGGATAATTCGCACCGTTAGCTAATAAGGCTACATCTGTATGGTGCTATAAGACAACTTTCTGTACGAACGAAATTAGTCAATAACTTTTTTATGCTTAAATAGGAGAATTATAACATTTGACATATAATACATAATTCGTTTCATGTACTTCGTATTATTTCTATGACTTTTATGTGATAAAAGCACTTTTGACGTACGTTCACGTGTTACTTTATTAAACCAAGGGTACGGATTCTTTATTACAATTTCTTACAAAAAAATGTTTCTACCATATTCCTCTTTCATGGTACAGATCCGCGGCTGCACGTATTTCTATTACTGTGCAAATTCAAATGATAGCTGACACAAAATTACTTGATTTATTTACTGAAGATGAACAAAACGAATAATAGATGGAGTATTTTAATCATAAATTCTTTAAAATCGCGGATTATACGAATGTTTTCTCTCTTACAATCTTCGCTTATACTCTTTTAGACGCCGCTTAATTAAATTTTTTAATTGTTTCGCGAGCTAATGAACTCCTTGAAAGTTAGCCGTTTGAGACCTTTATAAATTTCTTTGTTGACACTTTTTACAAGTACATTAATGGAACTGAACGGTACCTTTATTAAATTATACAAAGGTGGAATTTCCGTTACATTGAGATTTTTTTAATAATAAAAACAAAGTATGCAAGGAAGGTAAAATCAACCAACAAAGTACAAAGATACGTTCAAGATTATCTCAGTACAGAGTACTGAAAAACCGACCTTAAAAGTACGTGGATTTACATATAATTACCAAGTTTTATTGAAATCGGTTACCGGAAAGTGCCTAAACCCGGATTCATCTCCTAGTTCGCCACTATACGGGACTTGACATAGGAGATAATAAAAACGGTTCGCACTACTCAAAGTATATTGAGAGAGAAAAACGCCTTGAATTGGAGAATAGGAAAATCAACCACTAAAATAATTGCTCCTTATAATAAAATTTAGGCGCTATTTATAAAAATGAATCTTTATGCATGAACAACCACCCTTACAGGTGAATGATTGTCTTCAAAATTAAATGGGACCACTATGGAGATACCCCATTCCAACAAAAAAAGAATCATGAAAATCTATTCACAAATACCGGAGTTATCGCGTAACATACATACCACGTACTTTTGAGGTCGGTTTTTTTAGTACTCTGTACTGAGATTATATTTATTTACAAAGTGATGCCTTCTAGATTTAATTCACCTTATAGTAAAATTGATGCAACTAAACATTGAAATATTTCGACATAATGCTGTTTCATTTCAATTTTTACTGAATTTGTTTGAGTTATCATAGAGAAATTTTTAAACAGGTTCCAAATAGTGTAAGCGTTTTTGTATTTATGCTTTGGTATAGAATTACTACCAGTGACTGGTTTAAGTAAATCTTTAATACTTCCATTTATTTCTGGAAATAAATGAAAATTGTAATATTATTATCATACGTTTATTTGCTTAAAACATGGTATAACAGGAGATGTAACAAGAGATTGTGTTAGTATAAACATGTTTTGCATAAACACGTTTTGCACGATATTTAATAAAATAGCGTGCAAATGTCTGATTATACAATGTCAATTGACTACTATTGGCCGAGCGCCTTTGATTTATGCAGAAAAATCGACACTTCTCCGAGCGATGGCAAGGCAAGGTAAGGCAAATAGGCTGTCTATACGTTGGTATTTGCCTTCACCTGCCAACGTTAGACCAACATGGCCTTTGTATTGCTGGCTTTATAAAACAGGAATTTTTAGTAGTTAGAGTTGTCAGTGGGAAATAATCGGAAACGAGTGGATAATTTTGTTTTCAGGAACTGAGAATGCCTAGTAAATGAGTCGTGTTTAATCTAAATTAAATATAAAATTATTTACCAATAAACCTAATGATGGAATTGTATTGTCATGCAATCTAGTTACATTCAAAGTTATGTTAAAATTTGACTCTTCAAAATGAAGCGAATAAATGAAGATGGTCTTTAATTCAATGTATGATTTCCAACCATTCTATTACCTTTTTTTATTAGTAGGTCAACTTGAAATAGTAAAAATAACAATAATAAAATAATGAAAACCTCGTAGTGAATTATTATAATAACAGAATATCGATAATATGTACGCTTCCAACAAAAACACTATCTCAAAATAATAGTTAACAACAATCATCAAAATATACAAACAAACAGGCAATCTGAAGAAACCAAAGCAAAATTTGGCAAGATTTATGAATAAACTACTCAAATATGTCCAATTACATGAGATATTTGGGCTTTTGTGTGATTTATAGACAGAAAAATAACACCTGCCTGTACAACGTTACATTCGGTCGATCTTCGCTTTTACAAATACTACATCCCGTAATGCTGCAGCGACGAATTTTTATTAATACTTAATTGTTCTCACTGTCAATATTTTTGTCCATTTTATTACAATACATGCGTATAATTCAATAAAACACTTGGAAAAACATTTATTTTCTTCCCTTTGATAACCGTATCATGTACCTCATGTATTGCGTAATGGACACAATTGGCATTTAAGATGACGTTAAGTATTTTCGACTCCCGTGTTTGACACAGACCAATGTAATGCTATCTCTTTTGATTTAAGACGGCACGCAATAGTTAAACAAAGACATGTTTATGTTTTCGCCGTCAAAATGCATCATATACATATAACGTCTGATTTGCATATGTCAACATAACATGTCCTTTGTATCCATAGTCTAACCTGTGTTGTCCTCCTTTTAATTTGAAAGTTAAAATAGCTGTTATTTGTACTTAGTAAAGGCTATAATTGTTTTTACAACAAAACACGGCACAGGTGTACAATTCAAACAAATTGAACGTCTCTCGCTGAGTCTACAATATAACAAAGAAAAAGCAGGCTCTACATTTGAATAAAAAAGTAATTTACTGGAAAAAGTAATTTTATTACAGATTAATTTTTCCACTAAAATACACAACATTTAATTATTGTTTTCGACGAATTAAAAAACAAATAAGGAAAACAACAATCTGTTTCGTATCCTAGGAAAATGATATATTGGATACAAAGAAGATTATTTAGATATTTATTGTATCGAACATAATGTACGTATATATACAATGTATCAATTAAATACCATATGTTACGTGAAAACTTTACACCTAAGATACAAATCAAACAAACCAACGAACGTTATCTACAAAAACATTGTCATATTAGAGTACACTGGTAATTTAGTATAGTGCTTAAATTATACAGACTGAGCAAGGTGCACTTGTACCCTATCGATCAAACAAAACATAGACAGCCTTACTTATAAACACTATTTAACTTTAAATACCGGTTTAAACAACGGTAAAAAATTCTATAAACATTGATTATTGCTAAATAATTGATTAATTTGTTGTTTAAATACCTGTCAACACCATAGGGACCTTGTTTAACTCGCTAACTAACGAGATGGCTGACATTATCAGCAGGTTAGAAAACGTCAATGAGTTAAGCAGATTTGTTTTGATTTTTATTGTGAATAAATTTACTGATATTGTGAAAAACTGGAACATTTTCGGCGTGGTACAGCAGATTTGCGGTACTTTAGACGTAGGCGACCAAAGACGTACAAGAAACGATACGATCCACTACACCACTTATTTTGTGTAACAAACTTCGTCCTCAAGTCAATTTTTCGATTTTCGCTCCAAATGTCAAATGACAGCCATCTGACAAGATTTTTTCTGTTTTTGGCTTTCTATAGTTATTAATCTTCTAATGTTGCCACGATAATTATTTTTTCTTTATTAAACGTTACTTAACTAAGCGGTGTTTAACATTTTTATAGGTAATAAGAAAGTTAAATGGTGTTTAAAATCTTAAATAATGCTTACCTAAATAATGATTAAAGGGCTATTTGTGGTTTTTTATAAGTACCTAAGGCTGAAGATGCGTAGTTAGTTTATTGCATTAATTTTCATCGTTGCAGTCAATATAGTTTATTGACTGCAAAGCACGTTAAGTTTACCAATTTTAAGCAACAAAATATAATATAAATGTTTAAATTCTTATTAGATTAAACTCTTTTCTTATCTTATCAATGGCATACACTATAATGCTTACCATCATGTGGAAGGGTTTGTCAATTGGCGGAAAGCACTCGTCGATTGTTTCCTATATTTTTTTAAGTAAGAAATATCGAACATTCTCAGTTGCTTGAGAACGTAGTTTGACAAACAAATTACTAAACATTTTACATTTTAACCTAAAATGTTATTGCCATTTGGCCAACTAATCCTGTTATTACTCCTTGGCTGAGAGGCCGAAGTATCTCTGTTATTCTCGGACAAATCCGGAACTGCACGTGTGTCTGAGGATGATGTAGGTACCGGAAAATAGAAAGTAAAGAAACCCCTATTATACGTGGATGCTGTTGGATAGGAAAATGTACCCATTGGGTACGATCCTGGCATCGCTGAGTACGATCCGGGTGTCATTGGAAAAGGTTCAGACGGGACCGGTAACAAATTCGCTGGAAATGTTGCAGGAACCCGATTATTAGTGGAAATTACTGATGGATTATACGTTGGCACAGATGGGAAGAATGGCTCCATCGGATTAGACGTAGGTCTATCCCCATTAGATCTTGCTGCTTCCGAATTTGGTACTATATCCGGGTTCGGTTGATGCGTATCAGGGACAACCGGTGCGAGTGTAGTAGGTGTTGGCACCGTTGTGTCTGGTTCGGGATCTGGTTTCTGACAGGTCAGTGCTCCGCAGCGGTTACGACAACATTTAAGCGTACGCGGACAATCTGAGTCGCCCGTACAGGAGTCGGCACATATCCACGTTCCACGTGGATTATCTGGGCAGCGACCTCTCTTCACTGAAAATAACAGAAACAATTCATAATCAGACAGAATTCTTGGTTATAACAATGAATAATAACAATGTGCCTAACAATCACACCAATAGGCTGATCTCAAACAAGTACTCATTCAAATTTTGATTGAGAAGAAAAGAGCAACAATCTCCAGGAACACTTGGATAGTGTTCTGTGTGTGTGTGTGATCATCCACGGTAGAAATTAAAAGAGATAGATAGATAAATGAATTCCTTATTTTCTTCCATTACAAAGATATACAACAGACACATGATGTAAACAATTGAAATAAAACACAATAATTACATTTAACAAAGGTCTCATTTTGTAAGTCATGCCAATGAAAAGGCGCTGGCTCAGCATAAACGACACGGTTGCCCGCGACTTTGGTATTTTGCCAGGACCCTATAGGACAGAGATGCCACTCGTAATCTCAAATAAACAATTCATCTCAAAATGGTAGTTGTAAAACAGTTAAGTATATTTTTTTCAGTATCGAAAAACGCAAACAAAAGAAATGAAAAACGCAGTACTCACTTCCAGCGAAATATTATTAAAATTTATGTATAGGTTAAAGTTTATTTATTACAGACATTTAAACAATTCCTTACTTGCCAAATTAAAGGAAAAAATAACTTAATATTTTTTAGAAACTTATTTATGAGGGCTGTTTTATCCAGGACTAGTTCGCAAAAAGTTTGTCTCATTTTGAGTTAAGTAGATTTTTTAAAATTGTTTTTTTCAATATTTTAACGACGGTTTTATTGATGTGTAGATGCTGCTTGTCGGTTTTCTATCGGATACATTTCGGGGAGTGTGCGCAGGAACTTTTCAATTTGGTTCCGCCCTCACCATTCCTCCTTCGGTCGACTAGAAGGTCCGGAGCACTCCATTCTTATGTCGTTGATATTCCACCTATTCGCACTAAGCGCTTTGCTTCCTCCTTTCCGATGCGTACGGCACAGGAATGGAATGCTCTGTATTTCCCGAAAAGTACAATTTGGGGCTATTCAAGGCTAGAGTGAATAGGCATTTTTTAGGCAAACGCGTCCCATCGTCGGTCACATCGTCGCTTAACATCAGATGAGATTGTGACCAAGCGTGTGTCTATTATATATTAAATAAATAATAATCACTTGTTTCGCACTATAAATCCATAGCGTTAGTAACAAAATAACTTAAAAATTAGTATTAGTAACAACTGCGAAAGTACATTTTAATATTTATTCATGAGGATCCCATGTAGAAAGGCTTGAGGCGCAGCTACCGGCTTGGTGCCGTGTGCAGCTGCACCCAGCGCCTCACCATCGGAGAGTCCCATCTAGCGGCAAGAGTGCTAAGGATGCCATTCGTGCTGCCTCGTAGCCGAGTCAGGACTGAGGCACAACGCTTTCGTATAACTGAATAAAAGCAAACTGTACGAGGCTCAGCAAACGTAGTGGAGGCACTACAGTAACGCGGCAACTTAAATAGCACCCTTTTTTTACATTTCGCTAGGTAAAGTTGACCCACGGGCTACACGTGTAGAAGGACTGGCAATATGCTTTGAAAAGCAAAACCTTAACCTGGTCGCTACTACGTACAAACCTCCGTGTCGACATATTACACCGCACAGACAGCGCCCTGCGCTCCCGTTTAGACTTCCTTTCTTTCTCATTGTTCTATTATCCCCAATTTCAGCATATTTAAAAGATGCTTTCGTAGCTTATGCTTAAACGGTCTTTTTGAAATGGTGTTACGGATACTAGGTTCCTCCTAGGATCTTTGCAATTTAAAGCCCTAAGTGGCACTGTAACTATTATGGACAGGCGTGTAGATTACCGAGGACTTGTTCGCCCCGTCACTTATGTTATAAAAAATATTAAAAAATATGTATAATAAGACAAGTCAGCACTTCCTTGATCATGTGCTGCTCGAATCGCAGTCGACTATCCATAGTGATACCCAAATTCTGAACCTCATTTTCTAAAGCCGACAAATTAACTCGGAGTCTCTTTCTTAAGCGTTTTTATTAACCGCTAGCCTACCGAGGTCGACGAACAAGTGAAACGAATAATTATAAAACTTCAAAAGTTATCACCACTAATAATGAATTACCTACCTATCTGAATTTTATTATAAGATGGCATGATGACTTACCAAGTGTGGTGAAGTGGCGACGAGTGACAGGATCTACACACATAGCGCCTCCATGCCAAGTAGGACAGCAGATTTGTGAGTTATTGCATGGTTTGTCTGGACCACAATTCGCATCACGCAGATCCACCGCTAACGTAGGAGGACATGAACCTTGTTCTGTTATTACTATCATCACAAGGGCCGACACTGGAATAAAGAGTATAGTAAGTTTTTGACTATTGTCATAACCTTCTTTGCTAAGTAGAGACTTGACGTTTTAACTGAAGCAATAATTATGAGTATTTTCCTGAAGAGAAAAATTTATACGGGCTCTTCGATTTAAAAGAATTAAGTATATACCAATACTAGACGACTATATTACATCTTTATGCTGCTTTGATGATTACTTCGTCAAGTACAATCTACGAGTTCCCAAAATCCCTTCAATTTATTGTGTCATGCTTCCTTGTAGTGAGTTTAAAATATAATTTAAAAGGCATCTTATATTAGGTATTATGGAAGGTTAAAATATTATTACTTAAAGACAATGTAACACTAAAGTTCGTAAATATACAAATGTTATTATATTATTAAGTCCAAAAAACAAACCTTCGAGCTCGAGAATGTGAAGTAATATAGAAAACATAAATATATGTAATAAAATATCAGTGAAACCATTTTTTCGGATCTACATCGCGTATATTTGTTAGTGTTTGTTATGGTCAGCCGTGAGCATAGGATTGTAAAGGGTCCGAAACGTAGGAATGGTTGAAAAAACGAAGACACGCGATATTTATCCGAAAAATAACTTCATTTCTTATGTGTCACAATCGTGAAAATCTAAGAATTCGATATATAAAATATCAATGTTTTTATCAACAAAGGGCATGTATCTATGTCATGTGAATCAATCGTGTTCTCCTTAGAGACACGAATATATTTAATACGAAACATTGATAAATAAGAAAAATATAGTAAATAAGAATATCAAGTAACTGTTACATACTACAAAAAAATACTACATTTCTGTGCAAAAAAGGATACCGTGTTCAATACAATTTATGTGAAAACTGTCAACGCTCTTTGGATCGAAGTGATCTATTGCCTGAGTTTATTTGACTTCAAGAGTACACTACACTACACTTCGGGACATATAATTTAACATGAGACGCTGAAATCACTACAAAGTGATTTCAGCATTTCCCTGAGCTCGTGTCCGTCACACACATATTTTAATTTTTTTTTATTTTATATTAATTTTTTTTTAAATAATTCATTAATTCAGTAAATTGCGTAATTATACATTGTTTATCCTCATTTCTGTACATTATTATTATTATTTATAAAGTTTTTTTTTATTATTATTATTATGTGTGTGAAAATGAATGGTTTAAATGGTTTAAAAAACAAAAATAATATCATCATCGAAGAAAAAGTTTTCCTCGGTTTTAATGATTCAAATTTTCAACAAGAACTTATGGAAATGTCGTTTAGTATATATATATATATATATATTTTATAGTACCAAGTGACGGACCGAACAAGTCATGCGTATGGTGGTACGCGATATACCTGTCCATAGCAGTTGCAATACCACTCAGAACTTTAAATTGCAAAGATCCGAGGGGTGGGTACTGCCACTGCGCCCGTCACCCTGAGACTAATTTCACTAACACCCTTACCCTTCTGAACCGGAACGCAGTAACCTTATCTTATCTATTTCTGCTTGTCGGCAGAAATAGATAAGATGGCACTACTTCCCTGGACGAACACTTTCACAAGTAACTCTACTGCTACTAAAATCAGTTTCAAAATTGCATAATAGCTTTCAACCAATCAAACTTTGTTTAAGCTTATTTAATATTAAAATATTAAATGGGGGAGACCTTTGCCCGGCAGTGGGACATAGTAGATTATTAAAAAAAATACTGAAAATGCAAGGTGGCGCGAATTATGTGAAATGTTACATGTAACAAACGTACTAGAAGGAAGATCTAATCTCTGATCATTACAAGTGAAGTCTCAATCAAGTTTATACATAAGTAAAACTTTGGATTTGTCCTTTTTTATTTCTTTAAAAGTTTACATACAATCCATAAATCATTTTTTTTATTTGAATTTATGACTCAAAAGGCGACCTAACTAATAGCAATAAAATCCACAAAAGTATTTCTAAATTCATTTAACAATTTATTAGCTCAACTCACGTGTCACCAGTTGAAGCAACATTTCACTCCGTAAGCTCGTCTCAGCTCTACAATAATTACACGTTCCGTCGCAAATAACACCCCACAACACACGGATATTCTTACTAGACAACAAGCACAAATCCTATTTAAACAAATTGTATTCGCATTATAAACATTTCACTGTTAATTTGCACAGATCTTCAACTGTTTTTTACGTCCTGTTGGATCACTAGTACATCTATAAACAAGTACACTACACAGAGACGTAATGACTAACGAACTTAGTGGTCTCTGTTTTATATAAATCATCAGAAAATGTAAAGTGTATTAAAAAAAATAACAAGGTAAACAGTAATGAAGTCAATTTAATATGATGATTCATGTATTGGGTCATGCATTCAAATTTTCGTGGAATAGGCATCCGATTCAATTTTGTATTTAGAATCCAATAAGTTATAAGAATCACGGAGTAGTTGCCTTATAGTGCTTTGTCATTAGTGTTAAGATTTATTTCATTTTTCCTGGTAAACTCGTTGTTACTTATTGACAATTAGAAAAACAATTGCTAATACTTTGTCAATCACCCATATTGACGTAAGGAGGTTTATTACGCAGATTTATCTTAACTTTCATTCAACATCATCCACCTATATATTACGCCACACTACAGGACTTAGGCCATCGTTTACCTCACATACGTGATACGGTTTGGAGACATCATGTTTCGTCAAAAAAAAATTATCGGAACCATCACTGACATGTAGGTTTTATCACAATGGTTTCCTTCATCGTAGATAACAAATGTTGGTAAATAAAATATATTTTTTATAATACCATTCGTGCGCCTGGTGATATGCGATATGCCTGTCCACAACAGTTGCAGTGCCACTCAAGAGTTGTAAATCACAAGATCTGAGGGGCAGTGGCATTGCATCCATCACCCTGATCCATAAAAGTCCCATGTGCCTGTAATTTTATCAGAATCCCTACCATTTCCAAACCGAAATTCATTTAATGCTCACGTTACTGCTTGGCGGCAGAAACAGGTAAGGTGACACTATTTCTCTGGACAAACTCTTTCACAACAAGCTCTATTGCTATTAAACTTTAGTAGCAGTAGAACTCCTTGCGATAGAATGTAAGCTTTACTGCGTTCCTGTTTGGTAATGTAAGGATGTTGGTGAAATTACAGGCACGTGGACGGGACTTGTCAACTTATGTCTTAGGGTGACAGGCGCAGTGGCAGTGCCCCTAAGATCTTTGCAATTTAAAGCTCTGAGTGGCACTGCAACTGTTATGTATAGGCGTGTCGCTTACCACCAGGCGCACGACTTGTTCGTCCCGTCAATTGGTATTAAAAAATAAATAAATAAATAAATAATAATTTACTATTAACACTTCGGAAATTATACGTAAATTTATTAAGACTTGCTCGTATTTGAATCATAGGTATGTGCATGACTGGAAAATATTCAGTAAGTCCAACTCGCCGTGGGTAATCAAGCCTTCCTGTCTCTTTGCTTTAACTTAGTTTCGGTAAGCAAATGTACCTAATTCCAACCATACAAATAAAGAAAAACGATAAATCTAGATGCCCTAACGGCTTTATTCCGAAAATTCCAGTCATAATAAATATGGAAATATTGTATTACTCTGCTATCAACTCTATTCGACTGTATGTCAATTATCTCGCTAATGTCACGACGATAAACTCTGAAGCAAGACTGCGTCGTAATTCCACGGAAACCCACTTTACGATTCTACACGTCACTCCACAAGTCTTTATTTGGTCAGTATATTTGTATATGTAAATATCCTTGACATTGAACACTTCTCTGTTCAACTCACGCTAATAGGATAAAGAAGTCATTTATTTTTATTTCTTTATTTATTTACAATTAAAAACTTACATCAAAATAAGAATAAGTGACCGAACATAATTTAATATATTGACAAGTCATTAAGGCAAAATAATGTTAATAATAATAATAATACAATAATAATAACAATGTCAAATTAGATACCCTTATCACGTTTAAATATAAATTAAATTAAATTAAAGTCAAGAGCCTCCAACAACAAATTCATCTACACAATAAAATGATTTTTTCCACCAAGAAATGTTCCAAACTCTTCTTGAATTATATACAATCCTGTGCTATTTAGTTCGGCAGGGATACCATTAAACCCTTTTTTGTTGTTTGATATCTTGGACTATGTTTAACAATATTTAACTTTGGTGCTATTACACCACGTCTGTCCTTCCTCCTAGTAACAAGCCTATTTGACTCGGTCTCCTTACTAAATTCTGACAAACTTTCAATCACGCCTGTCAGCAACTCCAAGGAACTGTTAATATAAATAATTGTCTAAAGTAAGGTTTACACGATTCCCAGGGCGGAATTCTATCTATATTTCTTATTGCTCTTTTCTGTAGGGCTAAGGCCTTTTTTACGTTCTAGTCATAGCTATTACCCCAAAACCTTATACTATATCCTAAATGTGACTCAACTATAGCATAATATACCATTTTTAAATCAGCAACAAAGGCTTCATCCCGCAAGGATCGAAGAGCATAGCAAGCTGAACTTATTTTATTTTCTAATTTACTAAGTTCTGCTTGCCAAGTTAAATACGAGTCAATGCAGATTCCCAAAAACTTTACAGATTCTACTGTTGGTATAGTTTTATTACACATCATGATGTCGATGCGTTCGTGGTTAATAGGTGTTGTTCGGAACAATAAAAAGTTTGTCTTGCTTGTGTTGATGATGAGACTGTTACTTAAAAAAGTAAAAATCACATGTTAACAAGACCTCATTAGTTTTGTGCTCGATGTTTACTAAATTTTCAGCTATTATGGCAGCGATGGTATCGTCTGCAAAAGCTACTAATTTCACATTTATGAATTTGTCTTCAATAAATGTAATTAAGTCATTGGTAAAAATAATAAACAAAATTGGACCTAATATAGAGCGCTGTAGTACGCCTCTTTTCATTTTAACCGCCCTTGACTTGCACTGCACCAACTCCTCATACTCAACACTGGTGACCTCTACAAACTGATATCTGTTGCTAGGAAAAGACTGAAGCAATTACAATGTTTAACCCCGTACATCGTAGAGTTCTAATTTTTTCGCCAGAACTTCGCGATTTGTTGCATCTCTATTTCTTTGATAACCAAATTGTCGTTTGTTTCAAATATTATTCCGTTCAAAGTGATTAAGTAAACGAACTTTCATGAGCTTTTCAAGGATCGTTTCTAAAACTAGTAACAAAGATATAGGTCTATAGTTCTTTGGATCTGTTTTCTAACCTTTTTTATATATATAGGAATTATTTTTGCTATTTTCAGTTGTTCTGGAAAAACACTCTGATTGTAGCACTCATTGTAGAATATAGACAGTGGTTCTGCCAGGATGTTCACATTATCTTGAATAACCGTAATAGGCATTTCATCATAGCCAGTTGACTTTTTTCTCTCCATCTTCCTGAGGATTGTTCGTACCTCACACGGAGTAATTGGTGTCCAACTCATGTCTTTGTTAATAAAATGTAAGTTACTGGAAAGCAAGGAATTAACCTGACCAAGCTCAGACGAAACAGAAGCACTTCCAAAATTAAAGTCATCGGAAAAAATTTCAACAATTTCTTGTTCGTTTACAACAGTCTTATCACCGACTTGTAATACAATTTTCTCTATCTTTTGCAGCCATTTTTGTTTCTGTGCTTATTAATTACCCTCCAGATTAATTTAATCCGATTTTTTACTTTTGCAAAGCAGATTGTACTGCTAATCTTCTGGCGTTTCTTATTGCTTTCCTAAATACACGTATGTAATTGATCCTGTATTTAACTAGACTAATATTATGAGTTGGCTTATTCACTGGCATTAGAAACCGTTTCATTTTACTCGCCGTACATATACCCTTTGTAACCCATTTAATTTTGTTATCCGTATTGACTTTACACTTCCGTTGAATCTTTTTGAAGCTCATTGTAAAACACTCGTAGAAATTTTTCAGAAAACTATTTACACCGAAGTCATTCCATTCACGTTTTAATATGTTTTCTCTAAACTTGTCGTTATTACTTGTACTAAAAATTCTATGCTTTACTTTAATATATCTTGCTTTGTTGTTGATTCTGAATTTGAATGGAAGGGATAGAGAACAAAATAACCCTGCGTGGCCGTCAGAAAGACCATTGTGTTCCACTGTAATAGTATCCACATTTTCAGGTGATATATTTGTCAAAAAATTATCAAGGCATGAACGCGCATTTCCGCAAATATATGGTTCTGAGTCATTTATAGGTCTGAAATTATAACATTTCAACAAGGTTAAGAATTGCACTTTAGTCTTATCATCTGTTTACAAGTCCACGTTGAAATCTCCACCTATGATACATTTCTTATTGAAGAAATAAGTCAACAATTTTTCTAGTTGCATCACGAAGTAATTAAAATATAAAATTTTACCATTATAGTACAAACAAAATATGTTAAGGTTAGCATCTTTATCTTTAATACCGCAGATCTCGAAAAATTATACATATATAGCACGGTACAAATTGACAATTCCCCACAGTTACAGTTATTTAGTCTTAATATTTTTACTCCCTCCCCTCATCATATTTGTTCTGACATTATAGGTGATCAATTTGTAGTTGGTAAGGGTAAATAAAGCTACATTTTTAAGGTTTACGAAGTGTTCAGTTATACATATACATACATAGGTTAACTTACGTCCATGTTATTCAAATACATAAGAAATTCGGGATCCAGAAAACCTGCATCGCGTCAGCCTCGCCAGATAGAATTAGATTTACTTAGAAATTTAGGTTTTCATTTGAACTTATTTGAAGAAAGTACTATGGCGCACGATCCGGACTCAATTTACAAGGCCTAGTCCCGGACTTTGATGGTAACCCTAATATACTTACGAGATTCATTCGATTATGTAACCAAATAGTTATCAAGTATATGAGTAATACCCCTGGTAATGAATTAACCAATTTATGGTTTTTAAATGGTATCTTAAACAAGATTAACGGCACTGCCGCATGTACTATAAACTCTAATGGCATACCTGACAGTTG